GCAGTAAGTAGTATTGATTTTCGTGTCTAAAAAAACGGAAACAAGATTTCTTAAAAAAAATGTAGTATAAAAAATCTTTTTCGGTCGTATTTTATTAATTTTCCACATGAGTCAACTTGTACGAGGGTTGTTGGAAAATATTTCTTAAAGCGGAAGTGGGAGAGAAAATTCGTTGAAGTTTAGCATTTCATTCGAGAAGCATAAGTGCCGAAAGTATAGAGAAAGTTTTTGAATATTTCTCAAGTTGTTGAAGTTTTCCGTGGAGTTGTAAAAGGGTGAAACCGCCTTTAGGGCGTAATTAGGTCTCGTTGCGTATCAAATGCTTCTTTGATGATTAACTCCTCACGACTTAAGACCTCCATATCGCGTTACAAAATAATAAAAGGGGAACAGCTTTCGAAGATCGAGTTGCACATCAGAAATTGTCAAAGGATAACGTCTTGAGTTTCGAAATCCTTCTGGTTTGGTTAATTAAACCAAATCAAATTTAAATGTTCTTATTTCAACCTACAATGCAAGTCTAGACTAGGAAAAGAATAAAAAGAGTTTTTCCACAGTTTCAATTTTCATTTGTGTGAAAAATACACTTTGATTCTCGGTTGGAAGAGATCGCGAAAATGGAAATAGAGAGTAAAAAAGTAAAATAAAAAGCATAGAGGGTAAAAAGGGAAACCTCGATATGCACACAAATGTCCTCGTAGTATATCGCGTTCCAGACGCTTCCGACGTCGCGACGCTTTCGTTTTGCCGTTCGTATTCAGTAAATTCACGGCCAGACAGATCGAAACGGAGATGAATAATTGATTCTTCGGTCGTCTATTGTATCTTGTCGATATTTACGTGACTAAGTTACTCTATCTACTGAAATTCGAAACTGGAAATGATTTTAAATTCATTGATTTAATTTTATACAAAAATAAAGGTCACAATGTGGTTAAATTTAATTTGTTATCCGAAAAACCATTAACTAAAGTGGTAACTCAACAGAAATTGAAACGCGAACGATAAAACCGTCACACAATATTCATATGCAGAAACGAGAAATTGTTTATTTACTTTGTCGCCACACGCGTATCATGTTTCGGGTTTTAAAATAATAATAATCGTATCGAGTTTGGCGGACCGCGACAAAATAAATTCCAGTATATTTGTTTATATGATTACTTTTTTAAATTAGCTAAAATAACACCGAGATTAGGGTAGAATTGGTTTTGCTAAAATAACAAAAATCTAAAAGATCACTACTTACAGGCTTGTTTATTAATAGAGGGACGATTTATATCCCAAATTAAAGCTACAAGACTATATTTTATGAAAATTAAATAACATTATTGGGTTGAGAAAAAAAATTCTTGACGCTGACTTGAATTGAACTCAAAATTTGGTATGAGCTAACCTCAAACATTCTTTTATAACTCGAAAAAGTTTCAGTTCTCCAGTTTTAACCGTTTTGGAGAAACAAAGTTTTTTGATTTTCATTTACAAATAAAACGTCAATTTCAACCCAACGATTTATAATTGTTTTTTGAAAAAACTATTTTACCTGGAAACTTAAAATTTGGTATGAGCTAACCACAAACATTTTTTTATAACTCGAAAAAGTTTCAGTTCTCCAGTTTTAACCGTTTTGGAGAAACAAAGGTTTTTGATTTTCATTTACAAATAAATCGTCAATTTCAACCCAACGATTTATAATTGTTTTTTGAAAAAACTATTTTACCTGGAAACTTAAAATTTGGTATGAGCTAACCTCAAACATTTTTTTATAACTCGAAAAAGTTTCAGTTCTCCAGTTTTAACCGTTTTGGAGAAACAAAGTTTTTTGATTTTCATTTACAAATAAATCGTCAATTTAAAACCAACGATTTATAACTTTTTTTTGAAAAAAAACTGTATAACTTGGAAACTTAAAATTTGGTACAACATAATCTAAAACCATCTTTTATAACCTCAATATGGTTTTATTTTTTAATTCTGATTAATTTCGAAAAAAACTCTGTTTTTGATTAATGATCAATAAAAATTTAGACGTCGAATTTTTGCACGACTACAATACTTTCTCTTCATATAGGACTTATATATGAAAAAGTAAACAACTTTAACACTTGATGTAATCTAAACCAGTAAAAAAAAATAAAAAATCGTCATTTTGCACAATCTAAATTATCGCTAATAAATTTACAGGTAAAATGTGTGTCGAACCGTTGCCGATTGGCGATTTTTGATATATCGCGAAAAACCATCGGCCTCTCGCGTTCGCGAAAATGGGTCAGTTACCGCTGCCGCCATCGCATAATCGCGCGCTATAACATGCGTACGCGGCCCATGGGTCGACGACCCGTCGTCGTAGTCGTCGACGGCTGCCCGGACGGAATTGTGTCGACAAAAACTCTCTCGAGAACAGAGACTGCATATGCACCAACAAACCATCATTCCTTACTTTGTCATTTTAATTATTCTACATAAATCTACACAAAACATATTTATATATTATATAAAGTCAATATATATGTAGTTTCATCCCAAAAATAAATTAATAAAAATTTTTTCGGTAGTGAAATAGTTAACCTTCCTTATTTAGCAGTTAAACTTCTTTCGATTGCATATCGAACAACTTTTTAAATGTCAGTAGTTCAAGAACGAACAATAATATCGAGGAGCTGTCTTATATTACATAAACTACCGCTTTTTTTTTGTAAACAAATTTTAAATTTAAATGTTAACTCATTCATGAATTTAATAAATGCCAAATTCTTTATAATTAACTACTTCAAATTAACGTGTAGGGGGGTTGTAACAGGATATGCACTTGACAGGGCGCATTTTCAAGGGGAGGAAACGAAACCTTCCCACAAAGTTTCCATCCTTATTTTCTTTTCTTCTTCTATCTTTTGTTAAGAAAAAAAAATAATACATTTCCGTGTTGGTTTGTTATTGATATTTCAATGGGGAAGAAGTTGGGAGGGTGAACGTCGCTTTTTGGGGAGTTGGGGGGACGGATGCTAGACCGGCGTCGGTGGTGGCGGCGGGATGGTTCTTATCTGGCGTTCTGACACTTCAGTTAGCTAAAGTTAGCTGTGTCTAGGATTCCCTTTTCGAAATATAACCCCACATCCAAGTTTTGTTCAAAATATCACACCTGAGCTTGTCCAGACTAAAACTTCAAGTTTATGTACTATTTTATACTATAAATAATCTCAAGTTGGTATTAAAAGAGAAAACTCTGGAAAATGTCTGGAAAAGTCTATTCAAGTCGCGAATAGACTTTATCATCATGGAAATTAGCGGTTGGTTTTAAAGGCGTGATTTATAGCTCGGACTGTATATGGTTACGGGAGAAATCTGTAAACGTGGACTGTGCCACTGCTAAGCCAGCAAAACGTTGTCATAAATATGGATAGAGAAGGACTCCGTACAGAAGTCGTCGTCTTCTTAGACAATTTTATGGTTGTGGTTTGGCATCGAGCCATCTCTCTCTAAAATTGTACTCTATTAAAACTCCCGGTTTAATTACAAATAAAATAAAAAATCATAATAAAAATAATCTGATCGATAAGCTCAGTAAATTTCCTTTTCCTCAAAGATAAGCGTCGAGAATATAAACAACAGCAAACGGTCGAAAAGGCCGTATAAATAAATGTCGATTACAATCGCCACACTGTACTAATCAATAAACAGCACAATTATACGCCTTTTAAATCGACCATTTATTTTCTTTTTTTATATCTTTAAGCCAAACAATATCTACGATTCTTCATATCTCAACTAACCTTTGCCAACTCTGAATAATTATCTCGATCACGAAAGAACAAAACAATCCATTGTGTCTTTGAACACACTCGTCTCGTTATCAATTTCTTCGCAAACTCAAAAAAAATCGGGCATTGTTAAGTTCATCAAGTCCATTTAACTGACCTGTGTCATAATCTTGCAGATTATGCACTTTTTTTTATAAACGTGACCTCTATATATAATCATCCATTAAAATTGAAACTTTGAAAAGATTTTTTTTTTATAAAAAGAACTGGTCACGTGGAATGATTTAATAATAAAGGTGGATTTCTGCGAGATTGCGTGAACGTTTCTTGCCAAATTTGGTCTCTAAAGCATTCCGTTACGAAATAAACCCGCATTATTGATTCGAATCGAACTGTGTGTTAACTGTGCGTAAATCAAACTGTGCTAAAAGTTATGTAATTTAGTATTAAAAATTTTAAAATGAATTGTTTGGATGCAGTAATGTTTCCGTCTGGTCGAGACAGACCTGACCTGCCATGAACCGAAGCTCAGCATAGCGACACTGACTATTATCGAACACAAGGACATCTAATTTTACACTGAGAGAGTTGCGCGCACAGTGGCCGCACTGTATGTTTCTTGTCACACACAGTGTTGCCATCATTATTATTGCACTTCTTCCATTTCATTAATTTTATTCTTCTCAATGTTAAATTTAAACTCTTAATTTAATAACCATCTTTTTATATTGACTCAGTTCGTTGACTGCTTTTCAATATCCGCTCTTACGAAACGCATAAAGCAAATTAAAGGTTGTTCTAACCGGACGTAATAAAGCATCACCCCCACCGAACACGGTTTTAAACCAAACACGTGCAACATCCCCAATGTCGGTGACTTTGATGTCGTTCGAAACGAGCGCAAACACGTTTAAACCCCCCAAATGTAAAGAGAAGTAACCAGTAGCGCTAAAATGACCATCGTGTTTACTTCGAAAATACGAATCTGTGGGGGAATCTTTTTTTGGGTAGGATGTGATAAGATAAACTATTTTTGTGAAAAGATTAAAGGGCTTCTTGAATATTTTACCCCCTCGCAGCTAGATACTTCCCATTATTTATGGTTTCCCGGCGCTTCGGTTTGTATACGCAAAGTGCTTTTAGCTAAATAAGGTGCTTTGTTTGATTAAGTTGAGAATTTTCCGATAGGTATTTTAAGTAATGAGGTTTATTTATTAATTAACTTTTTTTTAATTATTTCAGACGGAAGACGAGGGCAATCATGGAAACGACGACACCCGATGTTTCATACTGTCCACGTTAGCTTCTCAGGGAAGGTCACGGGTCCATTGTGTCCTCTGCGAAGAGCAACTGTTAGTTTTCGATAGATACCCACTAGTCGACGGCACGTTCTTCTTAAGTCCAAGGCAACACGCCAAAAGCTGCATCGAAGTAAGTAAAATTGTTAATTTCTTTAGGAAACAAATTAGTCTTAACAATATATTTGGTCAATTAACTTATGATTAGAACTGTGTGTTGATGAACGTTAAATTAAAGGTTTAAAAAATCTTCTTTGATATAATACGACATTAACTTAGAGTTAGCATTTGATTAGCGGTTGGTTAGGCCGTGAATAGTATTCGATTTAAATAGATCGAGTTAAGTTGGGTTGAGTTGTGTCTTTTTAAATAATAATTAAACTTTCCTAATAAATCTCTTTAAGATATGGAGTTATAATGAGTTTTTAGGTGTTAATTAATTGTTGTTGCGTTCAATAAAGAATAAGAAAGAATAATAAAACATGTATCATTATCATCATCAGGGGTGAAACTTGAAAATTAATTTTTTGATCATTTTCCAGGTGAAAGTTGAAGCCCGAACACAATTCCTTAGCGTGGTCTGCATGGCTTGTTTGGAAGGAGCAACTGGAAGGGTGATACGCTGCAGATTTTGCAATCAACAATGGGATGGATCATCATTGGTTTTGGGTACGATGTACTCTTACGATATTTTCGCTGCTATGCCTTGTTGTACAGAAAGAATCAAGGTAAATAACAACTAGCTTGGATTATATTGAAATAATTTCTAATTTATTTTTGTTATTTTCAGTGCAACTCTTGTTATAAACCAGTTCTTCATCCAACACAACGTTTGAATTTCTTCAGCGATTATAGTCACATGGTGCCATGTCCACATTGTCGTACGATGGACACGCACTTTGTGAAACCACTTAGCTATTGTTACGCGCGTCTTCCGGTGCGAGCGCTTCAAATGTGGCCATAGCATGAGGCCGCGCTTTTTAAGGCGCGGCCGCACCAGCAGCAGCAGCATCAAACGCAGCAGCAGCAGCGCGATCATCAGGAGCTCTTCGATTTGGATTTGGGGCTTCTATGGCGCGAATTGGCCGGCCTGAAGTTAGACGATCTTTGCCGATTGCAACTCACCCGTTCTCGGTAAAAAAATTTTATTTAAACAAAATTTAAAGTTAAAATTTAATTTTTTTGATTTTTATAACGATTTTTTTAAACGAAATTAGGAGAAGTTTAGTTATCTTTGTTATTATATTATGTTTGTTGCGTTCCGAGTTGAAGCGATGGTTTTCGACGGTTTTTTCTTTGGAAACAAACATTTTTTGTGTAAGACTGAACTTTAAAAATTAAATTTCTAATAAAAAAAACCAATGAAAAGTGGAACGGAGATAAAAAATTACAAAAAAAAAGAAAAATCGTGAAAAATGATCGCTTAAATTTATTTAAATGGAACTCGTTATTATGTTATTAGTTTATTATTATTATTACTTGTATATGTTTGTTAGTTTATAGTAAAAAAATTTAAATCCGATGTCGCGAAAATGAAATGAGTAACGATTAAAAATCTATAATAATAATACTTATATTTAGAAATATGTGATTTAAATCAGCAAAGAATAATGGCATAAAAATTCATCGTGTCAAAAAAAAACGCGGGTAACTCAAAAAATCACCAAAAAAATTAGCAATACATTAAAAATCGACTGAAAATTTTTAATTCGTGCACAAATTGTAAAGATAGACAGTGAATTAGTATTTCGTAACAGACTGAATACGTATTTAGATGTTTAAAAAAAGACACTGCCATAATAAAAAAGTGGATGATGAAAATTCGAAAACGGTCTTTCTTAAAATTTTTGAAAATTATTAAATAGCGAGTTATCCATAAATAAATACTACATTTTTTATAGTTAAAACATATCTTTTTAATTAGTACTTTTAGAAATACTTAGCTCGAATTTTCCTTCTTTTTGTTTATTTTATTTTATTATTATTATTATTATTAAAACGAAGTTTCAGAACACATTTTCTTTTCTTTTTAATTCTTTTTGATTAAAAAAATTGTTTTATTTCGAAATTTTTTGGAGACGGAGAAGAAATTTTTGGAGAAAGCGAAGAGAAAAAAAATAGCAAAACTATACTAATAATAGCACTTTTAAGGATTATTGTGTGTATAGTTTGTAAGTCCCCGTTTATTATTGAGATAAAAAGAAGAAAACGTAAACATTTTTATACTAATTATGGATGTGTGAATTTGGATTTAAAAGAAAACATTTTTTATCGGTTGGGGTACGTTTTTGAGACCCCGAAATTGATTAAAATTTACGTGTGATTGATTGATTGAAGAAAAAACGGTCGTTTAAACGCGATTATTTAATTTATTTATTGTAAAAACGCCCCCCAAAAAGAATCCAACCCAAAAAGCTCCCCAAAAATTGTTTTTATTTTAAAAATAATCTATTAACAAAACAATAACAACGCAATGTACAAAACGTACTCAGAAATAATAAATAAAAAAATGAAAATAACAATTCTACAAAAAATATAAATATAAAGATATCAGAAAGTTGAAAGAGAGCAGTTAAGAGAAAATAAAAGTTAATAAAAAAATAAAATCGACGAGTACAAAGGTAACAAGTTGAAGTTTTTACTTTTTGCAAATTTTATAAAAAAAATAATAACTTGTATGTGAGAGAAGAAAATTAAATTGTTGAAAGTATTAAAAAAATGAAAATATGGCGATTATCTCTTAATCTTTTTATCACTTAATTCATTTCCCCCTTCTTTATAACACAAAAAAGAACTTCGACCGTTTCTTATCGAGACTTTGAGCGAAAAAGAAAAAAAAAATAAATAAACATTTAATGTTTATACATTTATACGGTGTGTGTGAGGCTTTTATTAGTATTACGTAGAAAACGTATCTCTTAAACGAAAAAATAAAATAAAATAAAAAAGATGTAGTCGTATACTATTATAGGGATTTTTTACTACTTTTTAGACGTAATTGCATGATAATACGCAAAAAATGCTTTTAAAAGAGAAAAAACGAGATCCACCCCTGTTTTTTAAAACAAAAATAATAAATAAATCTTTGAGAATCGCTAAAAATGAATTGGGCGATTTCCAAATTTATATTTTTTATTACTAATCAATTTGGGCCTAAAAATATTAATATTAAATTTAAATAAAATAAAAAAAGTTTTCGAAAAAATAAAAACACGGTGATAGTAATAAAGTAGTCATAAAATTCTGTGAGAATTGAAAATGGTAAAATTAAAAGAATTTTTTTTGTACATATAGAGTACGAAAAAAATTAATAAAAAAAATGATTAAAAAAAAACTCTTTTTTATAATTGGTATAAACGTAAACGATTTAATTACTAATTAATAATTGATATATTGTCGATATAATAAAGTAAGTCGTAGCATGTAGGGTTTCTGTACGTTTGTTCTTATTGAATGGAAACATTAAGAAAATGAAATTGATGGAAATAAAATAACCCGGAAATGTTATTTAAAAAGTTTAAATAAATTTTAAAAGAATAATAAGCTGATGTGCGGACCAATGGCTCTAAAAATTGGCGAAACGAAAAAATTTTCGTAAAAATAAATTTTAAGTGTTATTTTAAAATTATTTTAAAGCAAGTTTTTCAACTAAGGCCTAAAATTAAAAGAATTAACTCTTTAATATATAATTAATAAGTTCTTTTATCTACAATTATTAATATTATTTGTCAAAAAATTCCAATTATTAACTCAAAAATGATTGTTTAAACTTTTACTAAACAGAAAATCATCTAAAACAAAAAGAATTATTTTGTGAAGAAGAATATATTTGTTATATATATTACAAATATATTTACAAACATTTTGCAGTCAAATAAGGAGTAAGTTTAAAAATATTTATTTCAAATTCATCATAATAAGTAGATAAAAGTATCTACAATTATTGATATTATTTGTTGAAAAGCTTAAATTTCATCATTTTATGCATCAATAAAAATGAGATTAAAACGGCGTTAATTATACATTAAAGAGCTAAAATTAAATTTTTTTAATCGTTTAATTCTGTTGCCTAAAATATATTAATCGAAAAATGAAGGAAAAAGTTTTTTGGAATAGTATCAGGGTAAAAAGCTTAAAATAAGCTAATAAGAGATGGATTTTCTGGGAAAAAAACTCTCCAATTCAAATTTATTCGGTATTTTTCGTAATTTTTTTAAAATTTCTTTCGAAATGAAGGTAAGGAATAATCGCAAATAAACGGCTTTTGTACAGCTTTGTAGATTTGTAGTGAAGAAAAGGGCTGAGCAATCCAATCGAATATATATTTATATAAATATAAGAAATTATATAAAAATAATAAGCATGGCCCCCAAATATTTTTTAAAAGAAACTTTTAATCAACCAAAAAAAAATGGAACGAAAAGCAATCTCTTAAAAGTTCGTGACAAATTAAAAAAAAAAAATAAAATTTGTGATTGTGATTGTGAATATATTTATTATTGGCTCAAAGAATCTTAAAATTAGGATCTTTTTTTTGGAAAAATTTTGATAAAAACGTAAAGACAAAAATGGAAAAATTTAAAAGCAAAAAAAAAGACTTGCATGTAGATTTTTTACGAAAATGAAGATGTAAAGAAGCGATGATGTGATCCACGTAAGTTTTAGGGCATATACGAGTAGGTTGTAAGAAAAAAAATAAGACGTGATATTTTTCAAAATTTTCAATTAAATCGGGAAAAGAAAAGTAATAATTAAGTAATTGGCAAAAAAGTCGAAAAAAATTAGGATTAAGGATTTAAAAATTTCTTTTTAACTTTATTTTTAATTTATTTGAATCAAAAATTAATTTCCAAGATTGGATTGCCGGCAAAAAATATCCCTGCTTTTGCAACGCAGCGCACCTTTAAAAATAAGTTATAATTTTTTTATGGTGCGCAAAAACTCCTATAAAAGTACAAATGTTTTTAAATAATTAAACAGTTGATATGACATTTTTACTGTTTCTTATCAATTATTATTATTATTAATAATTAAAAAAAACTAAACTAAACCTATCGATTTATTGAATCAAATCCTTTTTCCCTCGCTGTTTAATCTTTAAATCCCGTCATTATTAATTAATTACATATTAATATCTTATCGTAAAACCAATTTATAATTATTATAATTAATTAAATTAATCAATTATTTGGAACGCGTTGGTTGGTGTAATTTAAAAATGAAAAAAAAACTAATAATGGGTATTTACGTATGTGTTAATAAGAATCCGTTTTTTATGCTGTGATTCTCCCAACGAATACCGAACTCGAATCGATTAAAAAAAAAATGTTGGGCGATTTTTACCTGCATTACCAAAATTGCCAATTATTTTTTGGCAGTATTGGTATTACTTTAGCAGGGCTTATCAGCCTTTCGTTGTTAACAGAACTGTATAATGACATATAATTTAAAACGATTTTAATTCATCACTAAAGCGTATACTTTTCAATAAAAAATCCGTTTTTAAAAACCACTTTTAGTTCTTGAGGTAAATTTTTTTTAATTCAATTTAAATTTCGTTTTTGGGTCAACTTTAAAAATCAGCCAAAAATAAATTTTTTAATTAAATAATTTAATAATAACTAAAACTTATCAATTAAAGTGTTTACTTTCCAATAAACAACCCCGTTTTGAAAAATCACTTTTGGTTTTTGAGATAAACATATTTTTGTTCACTTCAGTTTGTATGTGTTTTTGAATGTTTTTGGGGTAACTTTAAAAATCTGCCAAAAATCGATTTTGTAATTAAATAATTTAATAATAACTAAAACTTATCAATTAAAGTGTCTACTTTTCAATAAACAACCCTGTTTTAGAAAACTACTTTTACTTCTTGAGATAAAAATTTTTTTAGTGAATTCTGTTTGTATACGTTCTTGAACGTTCTTGGGGTAACTTTAAGAATCTGCCAAAAATCGATTTTTTAATTAAACAATTTAATAATAACTAAAACTTATCAATTAAAGTGGCTACTTTTCAATAAACAACTCCGTTTTCGAAAATCGCTTTTAGTTTTTGAGATAACAATTTTTTTATTCAGTCCAGTTTGTATACGTTTTTGAATGTTTTTGGGGTAACTTTAAAAATCTGTCAAAAATCGATTTTTTAATCAAATAATTTAAAATTTCCCTAAATCATCAATTAAAGTTCTTAATGCTTAAAATATACAGTTCTGGTTGTTACATTTAGATGAAAGTTGTTTTTTCGGATAATAAAGCCGAATAAGAATACAAATATGAACAAATGGTGATTTCTGATTAAGTACAAAGTGAGTCGAGTCGAGTTCGTTTTCGTTAGAATTTTTTTGGGGGAGGATCCGGAACTTTATCCTCTTTATTA